CCGGCACAGAGGTTGCCCAGAAGGAGAGCCCCAGCAGCAGCAGCAGCAGCAGCAAGCCGCGCAGCCGCGTGGTGGTGATCACGCGGGAGGTGCCTCACCTCACCGTGGCCGACTTCGTGCGCGAGTCTGCGCCGCGCCACGCCAAGAGCCCCGACCTGTACGAGAGGCAGGTCTGCCTGCTCCTCCTGCAGCTCTGCTTGGGCCTGGAGCACCTCAAACCCTACCACATCACCCACTGTGACCTGCGCCTGGAGAACCTGCTGCTGGTCCATTCCAGAGCGGGGGGCAGCCCCCTGAGCCCCGAGGCCACGGAGCCCAGTCCCACCACTGCCTGCCCAGCCAGGTTAATAGTGAGCAACTTCTCCCAGGCCAAGCAGAAGAGTCATATGGTGGATCCTGAGGTGCTGCGGGACCAGTCCCGCCTGGCGCCGGAAATCATCACTGCCACGCAGTACAAAAAGTGCGATGAGTTCCAGACTGGAATCCTCATCTATGAAATGCTGCACTTACCCAACCCCTTCGACGAGAACCCAGAGCTGAAGGAGAAGGAGTACACTCGTGCCGATCTCCCCAAGATTCCTACCCGTTCCCTCTACTCCCAAGGGCTGCAACAACTTGCCAGCTGCCTGCTGAATCCCAACCCTTCCGAGAGGATCCTGATATCAGAGGCTAAGGGAATCCTGCAGTGTTTGCTTTGGGGCCCACGGGAGGACTTGTTCCATGCCCTGAGTACATCTTCCAACCCCTCGCGGAGAGATGCCATCCTTCAGAACTGGCTGGATATTAAAAGGACGCTGCTGATGATCAAGTTTGCAGAGAAGTCCTTTGAGAGGGACTGTGGAATTATTCTGGAAGACTGGCTCTGTTGTCAGTATCTGGCTTTTGCCACTACAGACTCACTCCATCGCATTGTGAGAATCATGAAGCAGCACTAGTTGGTAGAGCCTGTTGCTTTTCATGGAGCACCCCCCACCTCCACCCCAGCCCTCACTCCAGCCTGCACTAGGGCTCACACTTCATACAGGTGTTAAAAAAACAGCCTAGACATCACAGTCAGCAACTCTGAGCAAAGAGGTTTGAATGGGAGAAATTGCCTCCTGTACCCAGTATGACAGAAACTCTTTTGCCAGGCCTGTTAGGGATTGATTATATACACTTGACTGCATTTGGATCAGACAGTATGTAACTTGATTCATATCTGGCTGAAAAGGAGAGCAAACTTTGATACCACTATTTCTACCACTGCAGTAAACAAATTGCCCTCCTCTTCTGGGTAGTTCCTGTCACTTCCTATGTAGTGTTGGTTGGTGAATACCAGTGACCACAAGCTGTAAACGTGAGATGAGTTGATCCACCATGCCACAAAACACTCCTTTGGTTCCATTCCACATACCACACAACATTTCCTCTCAGCATAGTCAGTCCCCCTGAGCGGGTTGGACTCCTCTTTCCTGTGGTCTCAACCAAACAGATTCTCATCTTTCTCTTACACTTTACCTTCTGGTTTTTCCTCCCCAGATGTGGTTGTCCTGCTGACTGTGGCAGTGAGCAGTGAGCATTGTGTTTGGTCCTCCTTCTCTGGCTCATTGCCTACCCATATCCTCCCTGACCACAGAGCCATGACTTCCACAGTGCTGCCTTAATCAGACCATTACCCTTAGCTCAAGACCTCTGCATTAAAAAGCAGAATATGCACACTTTGTCTATCCCATTTCCTACGTGACATTCCCAGTCTGGACTGCTGATGTACTGTAGTTCAACCACGATGGTACAGGAACAATACAACACATGGTGGGCAGTTGAAATTCCCCTTCCATCTCAGGAGGCACTAAAGCCTGACTTGAAATGGATAGGACATCCATAACCTTCTCTGACAATCACTGCTATGAATCAGGGATGAAAATAACAACCACCTCTTCTGGTTTATTTTAGTCTGCTCTTGTCACTTGTGCCGTACTGCAAAGTGGGACTGAAATTGGCTCTGCTGGTTTGTTTGGCAGGAGATAGAAATGTTTAGAGCTTGTCTGTGTGTAGCTAACAGGTCACATGGAGACACTTTTACTGCAGGCAGTTCTCTGAAGGGTAAAAACAAGGGGGCAAAAACACTGTTGTGTAATTACTGAGGGAGCTGTTAAGTTTGGCAGCCACAACTACCACGATCCATGTTTCCCACAGTGGTGTTTGGCTGCACAGCTCTTGTCTGTTGTAACTAGTGTGTTCCAATGTTGCTATAGACAACGACACCCTAAAAATGGAATGTTGTCAGAGGAGCTCAAAGAGCATCACAGACAGAGTTTTGGACTAGAGCAGGAATTAGTGAGGATGAAAGAGTCAGAATTTTAAAAACTCAACCTGAAGGAGCTTTTCCACTTTCAGAGGCCACTGCTGACTTCCTTCCCATTTCCCATGGAACCTCTGTGGCTGTACAGACACTGGCTTTGCTCAGTATTGCTAGGCTAGGAGTTGTTTCTGAGTTGCTCTGAAGGACTGATCTGGATGCAGGGGAACAAGTGCTACCCAATATTCTGATGAGGAAAAGCAGACAGCCCTAGTTATGAGCCTGTGCTTCTCTCCTATGGATCTATGTGCAATTCTTGTTTGTATTTTTTAAAGCTGTACATTACAGTGTTCACTTTACACACCAGCCTTCCCCCATGCTAGATCTGCAGCCCCTTCCTTTACTTTCCTGGCACATAAATGCACAGATATCCATGTGTTCTTTTTATGGATTGATGTTTCATTTTAATTGTTAAAACTGTGAGGAATCAATTCACTTCAGCCTTGAAACAAATAGCCACTTTATACAGCATATGCATGCTTGGACCAGATGCATGGAAACTGAACAAACAGTCCTGCAGGCTTAAAGTCAGCAAACAGCTCTGGATCCACCACATACATTGGAGGAGCTGATGTGTCTCTCTTGCTCTGGCATCTCTCAGAGCTGAGCTGAACAGTGTGTGGAAGCCTACATCGATTGTGCTGTAGTACAGACTGTCTTTGTGACCTTTCTAAAGATATTTTTTTTTTGAAACTTCTGAGAATTATTCTTTTGTTTGATTCACCTGTATCAGTGAAGGATCAGGCAAGGATAAGGATAATATATTTTAATGTGATATGTATTTTTTTTTCTTTCTCTTTTTGGCAAAAAAAAAGCTTAGGATGGCAGCATTGATGCAGAAAAAAGAGGACAGTGCATTAAAAGCCCAAGTGCAATGTATGTAGCTGAGGTACTTCCACTACATCAGGAAAGAAAGTTTCTACACTACTGCTGAGCAGCTTGTAGAAGAACCTTCACAAAGAATGACCTGTTCAGTGCAGCTCTGCTTTACCTGGACACAGGAGGGCAATGCTCTCGTAGTTTAAATGCACCAAGCATGGCAAGTCACTCGTGTGCTATCTACTAACTTAGTCCCAGTGTGTTGAGCTACAAGTAGGGCTTCTTGTTCTCTGTGGACTGGTTTGGTGTCTGTTCTGTAGTGTGTGTGTGTGCTCCTGACTCCCAGCTGACTCCCACGGGCTGTAGGAGCAACCCTTGGCCCTCTTGGGGTGTTCCTGGACACATGTTCTCAGTGTGTGTTTCATGCCAACATGCAAAGTTGAATCTTGAATGTTTTACAGCCATAGGTGTTAATGCAGCTGGTCCAAGGCCTTTGTATCTCTAGCTATCTAATTTCAGTTTGTATCTTTCGTGATGAACCAATACTCATTTTTAGCTCTGCAGTATAATCAAGCATGGATAGATGTTCACTACCAATCTCTTTCTCGTGCAGCACTGGGTAAACTTTAGCAATTTGTAATGTTGTGTGGTTGTTTTCTTTAAAAAAAAGGAAGAATGGTCAATGTAGTCAAAGCTGATGTGGCCTGAGCTCTTCCCTGAGGAGCTCAAGGCTGATTTGGCAGATCTGCCCATAAGTGATGATTGTAACTGTGTTTGTGGTGGTTCTCCATCCTGGCACCAGATTGTGCCACATAAATACACGAGAATGTATGCATTCAATTGATTGTAAGCCAGACCTAAGAATGCTACAGCATAATTGCTAAGCAAAAGGAAAAAAACCCTCTGTAACAGGATCCTGTGCGTGACAGGAACAAAACCCCTGGCTGTGCATGTTAGAACTTACTTGAATATGTGCACAGATCTTGAATTTTTTTTTTAGCAATGTCGCACTTTCCGTTGAGCTCGAGAAATAGGAAGAGCTGCAAATCTAAGATAACAGTATTGACTGTAAATATATATTTTTCTATTAATAAAAGCTGTCATTCAAATATTTTTAACATGAACTCTAAAGATTTTTCCAGTGGAAAGTTAATTTCTGGAAAAATCAAACGCTTGTTTGAAGAATTATGATGAGTGGTTTCTGATCCTATTAGAGCCATTAAAACCCTCTCTAACGTGACAGAGAGAGCACAGTGATTGGATTCACAATGTTTAGTGCCTTGTCAAAAACCTGAAATGTAGCTGGTCGGTGGGTGGAAATACTGTTCTTTCCATAACAGCCCCAGAAATAGCACTGCCCATGTAAAGTGCAGAAGGCTTTGCAAAATGAAGTCTGTACTTGGTGTGACATTGGGCTGGTCTGTTCTGTGAAATTTGTGTTTGGAGTCGATGAGAATTGGTTCCCTAAAGTCTCTTGTAGTACAGCATCAACCTGAAGTAACCAAATTGGTTTTCAGATTTGGGATCTGCACCAGGAGAATAGTAGTGGATAACAGTTGGTCTAGACTGACCAGAGCATCAAGAGAAGCCTATTGCTTTGACAATCTGCTGCAGACACAGCTTTGGGCAGGTGAGGAGTCTCCTCAGTCCAGGAGAAGGTGAAGGTAAGATGTGCTGCTCCTGCTGTAGGAAGTGGCTCAGCACACTCACTCTGGTGTGAAATGCAAACCTCTGTTAAAACAGGAGTGCTAAAAAACTACTCCTGAGATGTTCTAGAAAACGGTTTAGTTTTGTATTTCTTAAATGGGAATTACTAATTACCTTTCAAGCCTCAGATCTTACCCAGTCATTATGCATAACCAGGTGAATATAAAGAGAATCTACTAGTAAAAACTTGCCTACAAGTTTTCAGGAGTGAGGGGATCCAGATTTCTCCTCTGGAATGTCCCAGTGTAGAGGGCTGGTCTCAGTTATTTGTAATAGCAATTAAATCCTTATGTAAATATAAATTAAATAGTCCTGTTGTTATTTAAATCCGTTTTAACATTTCTGAGGGATACACCAGAAACTGAGACAGACCTTTAAATGCACTTTCTTTTGCCCATCCCCAAATTGGCTGTTTCTCTGTACAAACAGTAGTTGACCATTATTCCCTGCATGACTAAGACCATCAGCTTCACTCTGAGTTTGAGGAGGTGGTGATGGTTCTACTCAAACTCCAGTAAAACCTGAGCCCTTCAGTCTGTGCTGAGAGAGATGTGATGATGATTTCATTATGCAATAAGATAACATCAAAAATTGCAGAACAGAATTTTGAATACCTCTGTAAAAACTTTACATCTGTGGAAATATTCTGTAAACAATCCCCTGATTCCAAGAGAAGAATACACAAAAAATAGTTCTCAAAAGAAACCCCAGGGAGAAATGTCTTTAGGGCACCCTCAACTCCAAAAGGAGGAGCAAATCTTCCCTGCTGTGCTGCAGAGGATTTCTGGTAGACATTTGTGTGGGTGTTCTTATTCACCTGGATGCAGTGTTAGAAAGATGGTGATTTTGAGTAGGTGTAGAATGTAATTTAAACAGTTTCCTGTCAGTCTCCTTGCACTGGTGCTCACTCAGCATAGCTGGAAACCACACAATGCTCTCAGACCAAGCAGAGTTGCCAGTAAGAAGTGAAATACTCAACTTACCTGTACATAAACATTTTACCACTCGACAGAATTTGAGACTTTGGTTTGTACTTCAGACTAGAAAGATTTCTTTTATTTTTTTTTCCAT